GATTCGTGATGAGATGTCGTAGTCACCACAAGTCACTACACGATAGTCGTCGTCACTACTACCACTACTACTACGACGACGACTACTACGACTACTACGACTACTACGACTACTACGACTACTACGACTTCTACGACTACTACGATTACTACGACTACGACGACTACGACGACGACGACTACTACCACTACTCCTGCTGCTGCTGCTGCTGTTACAACACGACTACTACTACGACTACTACGACTACTACGACTACTTCGACTACTACGACTACTGCGACGACGACGACGACGACTACTACTACGTCTACGGCGACGACGACGACGACTACTACTACTCCTGCTGCTGCTGCTGCTTCTGCTGCTACAACACGACTACTGCTACGACTACTACGACTACTACGACTACTACGACTACTACTACTACTACTACTACTGCTACTACGACTACTACGACTACTACGACTACTACGACTACTACGACTACGACGACGACGACGAAGACTACTACTACTACTACTCCTCCTCCTCCTCCTCCTCCTGCTGCTGCTGCTGCTGCTGCTGCTGCTGCTACAACACGACAGCCACTACGACTACTACGACTACTACGACTACTTCGACGACTACGACTACTACGACGACGACTAGTACTACTACTACTACTACAACAACAACAACAACTACTACTACTACTACTACTACTACTACTACTACGACTACGACTACGACTACGGCGACGACGACGACGACGACGACGACTACTACTACTACTACGACGACGACGACGACGACTACTACTACTACTACTTCTACTACTACTACTACTACTACTACTACTACTTGTTGTACTCGTGGTAGTGATTGTCGTTGCTGCTGACTTCGAGCGCGACGGCAGTAAGGACGCCCTGTCGTGTTGCATCTGCTGATAGTTTCGTTGAGATTTTACGGTTCATGGGCTGGTGGTTGTGTTTTACAATTTATGTTCGAATTGCGAATCATTGTCGGACATAGCGCTGTTCTTAGGTTTTTGTTAGCTGCATTTCCGAATTCATTTTGCTTTGCTGCTCAAGGAACACTAAAGCACGGTTTTGTTTAGACGGTGGAAGGGCCTTTGCTTGTGGTGGAATCCTTAGGGCCCGATCACCTGGCCAGGAAACCCTAGACCCGAAACCCTAAGCCCTAGACTCTAGACCCTCAGCCCTAAATCCAGCAGTTCGGCACAGTGGGAGTCTCACTTCGGTGGAGTGGTGGCATCATCTTGCTCTTCGTACCTCCCGCAGCATCGGCCCTGCCCCAAAACATCTCAGCACGGAGCCTCTATGATTATAGAATGTGAGGCTTCAGGGGTCCGGAGACAGGCTTGAAGGATCCGAATTACCGTCGCAGTCCGCAGCCCGAAACCCCAAAGGACGATGAATTGGCGGCTGGACAGCTTGCCCCCCGCCATGCGAAAAACGATGTAGCAGGGTCAGGAACTCAGGAAGGGACATAGGTGCAGACTGGGGACTGGAATGGGGAAGTGCTATGAGTGACTCAGACCCCTATATCAGGTTATCAGGGCTCAGCGGTTTGAAGGTTTTTAGGGGATTGAATTGTCGGGTTTTGGGGTTCGGGGTGTCCGGGGTTAAGGTTCGACATTGCTCCCCTTGCAGTCAATGATTGAATCTTAAGCCCGAAACCCTCAGGAAGACCATAAATAGAAATTGTATGTTTTCACGACACAGCCCTGACACATACTTGAAACCCCCTAAACCCAAAAGTTACCCTGGTGGGGTACATAGAAGGCAAGGTGCAAACGAGAAATCAGCCGCCCAGCCGCCCTGCCGCCCAGCTCAGCCCAGTGCACGAAAAGCAAGGTGATTTCTATAAACCCATAGCCTAAACCCTAAAGCCTGCACTGACCCCAAAGGTTTTAAGGTCTTTTGGCTTTAGGGCTTCAGGGTTTTTGGGGTTTGGGGTTTAGGGTTGTTGTGTTTTATGGTTTTAAGGTCCTAGGGCTTAAGGTTTTAGGGTTTAAGCTTTTCGGGCCTGAACTAAAGAATTGAAGGTTCTGCCTCTTTTTCATGTACGTGCGGCTCGTCTCGCACTCTTCTCGTTAAAACCCTAAAGCCCTACTTAAACTGCACTAGATCTACCTACAGCAGGTGTGAGCTGTGCGACTTTGAGGGTTTAGGGCAGTAAAGATATTCAACACCCGCATAAATGACGCACCCTTCATTGCCCCTACATCCGGATTGCTGGAAGCTTCATGCGTAGCTATAAAAAGGCTTGCAGCTTGCTCAATCGGAGTTGTTACGAGGTATAGCCATGGCTATCTTGCTTGCAACTCTACATTGACATGCCGTGATCCAAGCCAGAAGCGCTCCGTACCCTTACGCCTGGAGCAAGCCAAACCTTACAGTTCGCAACTCGGGGCTTTGGGGGCGCTTTATAGGCTTTGTGACGAGCTTCCATCCCGGAGCCCTGAACTGGCCGTAAACCCCACGAGGCTTTCTCAATAAGGCAGCTCTGATTTTGGGCTCAGGTTGAGGGTTCAGGTTGAGGTGTTGGTGTTAATCCGAGAGCTGAAAGCAAGGCCAATGTGGCGAGGCTGTCTCACCTTTCTTCTGAGCAGGCACAGCGTTCTGGGGTTTGGAGTCTAGAGCAAGAAGTGGAGCCTCAGCACTTCCTGTAGAATTAATACGGAGTGTTAAAGTTATTCAGACCCTTACATTGCAGGCCCAGGGACGTGCGGGTTGTGCTAAACGGTGCTTCCCTTTTCGGGATACGTTTCAGTTGGCACCTGAAATCGAGGCTCATCCTTGAGAGTCCTTACCTGCCTCAAGGGGTGCTAGCAGCCAGATGCAGCCGAAGAAACCTACAGAAGACGGTCTGGAGTTCTTCCAGAATCTTTTCCCTAGGTTCATCTTAGGGACCAAAAGAGGCAGAGCACAGTCTCACGCGCAAGTGCTTGTAGTGAACCCCAGAATGCTTGGAATCCCTGGACCGCAAGACCCAGGCAGGTGGCCAGAGGGCCACCAGAAGTGGAATCCTCGGTGTGCTCATGGGCTGAATGGGAGGGTTTTAAGGGTTTAGGGATATGGCTCCATCTATCTGACTCGGGATGTGTGCTTTCTGAATCTGAATCTAAGAGCACCATAGCAGTGGGTCCCGCTCACCCCGACCAAGAATGTTACAACACCCTGCGGTTCAAAGCCCCACCATAAACCCCCAACCTTAACCCTAAACTCTGAACCCTAAGCCTTAACCCTGAACCCTAAAACCTGCACCCTGAACCCCAAACCCTAGACCTTATGAGCCCTAACTTCAGCCTGGACTTATGACCTGCACGCGGTCCGCTGACACGACCTCTCATGAGACCTTCAGGGTTTGGGGTTTAGGGCTGTTTAGGACATGCCCATGAGATCCACGGGCACACGACTTTGCTCCCTCCCCCTTCCTCTGTCCCCTGCTTCCCCATGCGGGAGTGCGAAAAAAAGCCTCGGAGTCGGGAACCTTGCTGTTTGGGCTCCAGAGTCACGAGCGGGGTTAGATTTCGCCTGTGGGGTTCGAAAAGAGCTTGGGGTGGCTTCGGATGTGGGGTTTAGGCTTTCGAGTGCAGGGCTTGCGATTTGGGGCCTGTGCCCGTTTTGTGGAACCGGGTTGAGTCTCCGTGTGTTTGCGAGGGGCTCCTGTGGCAAGATTTCGCCAGCAGAAACAATACTTCCTGAGCCCCTCAACCCTGAACCCCGGAAACCCTGAACTCTAAACCCCCAGCCACAGACCTTAAAGCCCAGAAGCGGAAGTGAAGCAACAGGTGGCTAGAAACCCTAACCATCCTCCCAACAAGCCGAAGGCCCTAGGAGCCCTGAACCCTAGGAGCCCCTGGAAACCCGGGGGAGGTGAACCCTTTTTGGCTTTCCCCAACGAAATCCGAGCAGTCAGGCGCTCTCCTCAACCCTCCCATGCCTCCCAAGCTGCAAAGCCTCAAATGGGGGTTTCCGAAAGCTCCCAAATGCAGGAATTAGAGGTATGGTGGTCGAGAACCCAGGCTTCAGGATGTAGGGGTTTGGCTTCAGGATGATTCGGAAGCTCCGGGTTTTTGGGGCAAGTTAACCCGGCGTGGGATTTCCGTTCGTAACCCCACCTTCTTCCAATAGAAGCCCAAAGCCCGTAAGCCTTCAACCCCAAACCCGACACTTGAAGCTTTGACCTTTCGAGGACTCGACCAACCCGTGAAGCTTGCGAGCCTTTCTTTCGGGTGCAGGGTTTTCAGAGAGTTCAGAAGCAGAAGTACCCGATGTGGTTGACGCCGACATCCCCTAAACACTAAACCCTCCTCCGGCCCTAAATTCTAATTGCTGGGATCTCGGGCTTAGTTTAAGTTAATAGTCCCCCACACTTGGCGAGACCAACAAGTCGGGAGGAGTCAGATCTTCTGGGTGACAGTCTGGCGTTATAGTGACCATGAACCCACCTTGTGGGACATGTGCGAGATTTGATGATCAACGCGCAGCACCGTACCACGTCTATAGAGCAGCATGAGCTTTACAAAGCACGCCGAATTGCCCAAGAAAGGGCTTCCACATCTTCGGCGGAATCAACGCCCGATCCCTGGCAACTGGCAACCAAATTCTCTGAGGAGCCTCCCCCCCTCTCCCGCCAGAAGCACCCTTACAAGGAAGCCGGGCGCGGCCTCGGAGAATAGGTTAAGGCAGCTACGATGAGCTACGTCAGAAGCCCAACTAGGCCCCAGCCATGGCGCACTCCGCCCGCTCCGCCCGCTTGGGCCGCCTGGGGCAGGCCTGTTTCCGTGTAGGGGGGCACTAGGCCCAGGGCGCCAGGGACCCCAAAGTCCAATTACCCTTCGTGGCATCCGACACACCCTTTCTTCGTGAATCCGAACCCCGGAAGCTCCGATGCTGTTTCGACTTCAGGGTTTTGGAGTTCTCAGGTTTGGGGTCTTTTTTGGGGTTTAGGGCTTCGTGGTCTATGCACGGTGGAAGAATTTGGGATCTTTCCGGTCGGGTTCGGCCAGGTTCTGCGGAGCGCGGTCGTCTTTTTCTCAGTCTGCTATACTAAAACGCGTGTAAGACAAGTTGGCACCTCCCTGCATCTACGCCAGGCTTGTCAAAGCTGTAAAGCCGCAATGAGTGAAGCCCGAGACTTTGCCGGAGGTCCTGCTGTGGCCCGTCTTTGTGGGCAGCCTCGCATTCAGCTTGGCGGGGTGCTTACCATTTGCGTCTCAGGGTTTGTGGTGCATGATCGTAAAGCGTAAAATGCGCAGAGACAAGCTGTAAATTACGGTCCGAGCAAGCGGCGCATGCACAGGGACCCGAACCTAGAAGAGTAACAGCAACTCCCGGCCCTTGGCAGCCGCCAACCCAGGAAGCCCTCGCACTCTGAACCTCTCGTGAGTCTTGCAAATCCCAACTAAACATCCTAAACGAGCAAAAGAGCACAGCGAGAGCTTGACAACACATCAAGATCCCAAACTGTCAACCACAAGCCCGAAGCACTGAACGCGAAGAATTCGGCGCGAAGCCTGAAGGAAAGGGCTTGAAACTTGACTCCACAATCACAGCGCCGTCCCACTCTGAGCCTTAAACCTTAAACCTCAAACCCCAAAAGTCCCAAACCCGAACCTTTAAATCCAAGAAGCCCTAAACCCTAAACCTTCAGACCACGGGCCCTAAGCCCTGAACTCATTGCACTCAGAAGCAACAAGTAAAGGTTTAGGGTTTAAGGCTTAGAAACCAACGCTTAGAACCGCACAGCCCAAGTGAAGAGAAAGCCCCGAAACCCTCATGCTTGCTTCTTGGGTGTCCTCATGATGATACGCTCCTACCAACCTTGGAACTTAGTCGGAACGCTGCTTTAAATGTAGACCGTATCACATCCTGCCAAGCCGCATAAGCCGCTGACAACACACCCGAAGGGTTTAGGGTTTAGGGCCAAACAAAGTGAGTACTCATGCCACTAGTAATAGAAATAGCAACAGTAACGGCGATAGCAATAGTAAACGGAAAGTGGAATAGGGATTTGGAGCCCTAAATTCCAAGCCGTCAGGTTCCCCGTCGCGCTGTGCCGGGAACCGTGTGGCGGCCTCGGAGACTTCCCACAGGGCCTTCTCCCATGGGTCTGGGGCCTAAGTGGCAAAGGGTGGCCTCAAGTCGCCATCGCGAGACCTTAGGCCCGAAACCCGCAGCCTTCACTCCTATGCCCTGGACCCGGAACATCCCGTTCCGATGTTCTTGCCTTTACATCCGCTTGCGTGTGTGCAGAGCCCGAAATCGTAAACCTTGAAGCTTCAGGCCCTGCTGCGGAGGTATGGCTTTGAACAATGTCAACGGCTCCGAGAACCGTTGTCTCAAGAATCTACTGTGTAGTTGTTCGGTGATTTCGATGAGATTGCCGACTTGGAGCTGCAAGATTTAGAGTGGCATCTAGTGGAACTGATCTGCATTCACGTCCCTTTGCAGTGCCTGTCGATATATACAGCCAAGTTGGCCCACAAGGGGCCACGACTCTATTCTAGCTGTTTGCCCCTACGTTGGAGTTCGTGATCGGGTCGGGAATGCAGAACAAGCTTCTCAAGCGCATGGGGCTGGGCTTTTTGCGTGCGGTGCCCCATCAGACCCTACTACTCCACAGCCCTCCTATGGCCTAGTCTTTTTGCGGCCCCTACGAAACCCGAGAGCCCAACACCCCAAGGCCGGAAACTCTATATCACCCAAAGCCCCAAAGCCTTCAACCTTACCACCGGAAGCCCCACGAAGCCCCAAAAGCACCCTACTGTAACACCCGCATCTAGCCAGTAGCGGGACCTTGTCACTGCAAAGTCGAGGACACAAGGCCGAAGCTGGCGCCAGGTTCATGAGGACCGGGGGGGAGGATCTAGGGCGTCTGCATCTGGGTCCAGGGCATAGAAATGGGTGGCTACGGCCGAGGCAGGCCTTAGGTTTTTAGGGTCCAGTTTAGGGTTCTCAAGTTTTAAGTTTAGGGCTCAGACCTTGTCACCCTCTTAATCCAGAGCCACAGGGGGCGGGGATTGGGGGGGGGGAAAGGTCGAACTGTCATATCTGATGCCGGGGTGCGGCTGGCTGGTACCCACTTTGCTCCCGTCTGCTTGGTGGGTTAGTGTCTTGTTCCCCCCTGTGGTGTGGTGGGGTTCGGTTTTGGGACTGCTTGGGCGGGGAAGGGGTTGGTGCCATGATGATGATGATGATGATGATGATTCGGCTTCATCAGCATCACCATCACCATCACATCACCGTGACCATCATCATCACTGATATCATGCCAGCTCCAGTTGTTTGTGTGGCCTCTGTGGCTCGTGGGCTCCGATAAACCTCTCGCCAGCTTGACAGCTCGTCTCAGCAGGAGGCGAAGAGCCTGCAAGATCGGCTCAAGGCCGTGATGCTGGAGAGCGGCCAGAGGGCTGGGAGGCTCAGAGGATCTCAGAGCTTCAGTGCGTCACGGCCCTCCAAGACTTTGCTGTTTTCCATGGTTCCAGACGGTTTCGGGGTTCAGTGGCATTGAGGGAGTTTGGCACTAGATACTCACCGTCCCGTCTTAGCCTTCCTAGCCGCTGTAAACGGTTTCGCCCCAGGACGCAAAACCTGAAAGCCCGAATTGCCTTGACCCTGAACCCCCAACGTCCAAATTGCTGGCCCCCGGATCGCTGGAGGCATCCTCTCCTCTAGGCGTGCAGCAGAGTGTTTTCTCAAGACTTGTAACAGGATCGGTTGAATTTGGCCTCTTTCAGGTGCAGTGTGTGTAACTGATCCTACAGGCCTTGACCCCTGAAACATCTCTGGAGAAGTCTTCCAGTCTTGGTGAAGGTCCGGGAGCTGGACGCCATGTTCTTAGACAAGCCGCCGAAGTCGCGGCCTGAGAACCGATGATAGGAGCTATTATCCTGATCAGTATCACTGTCACCGCCGTCATCAACGTCGACATCAACAACAGCAACATCATCATCATCATCATCATCATCATCCTCATCATCATCATCATCATCGTCACCGCCACCGTCACCGCCATCAGTTCGCATAAGACTAGATGCCTAACAAGTTGGCTCGCTGAGGCGTCGGGTTCCAAGTTCAGGCTTCATGGATACAGGTGTTGAGGGCATTCTGGCCTGCAACATTCATTGCACACGTCGTGGGAACCGTCAACATCGCCGAGAAAGCTCCGGATTCACGATTTAGGCTCCAGTATTTGGGATTTATGCGCTGCGGGATCGGCAGACGAGCACTGGATAATGGTGTCGCAGGTGTTGCAGTTCAGGCTGCTGGGTTCCAGAGCTACTTAATTGTTCCACAAGATGATATAGCATATTTCAACTGCTACTATTATGTCTAGATGATATTTGCATTTACTGCTTCTCAGCAGCATGGCCCATGATTCTTGTGTTGTCCCTGTTTGTTTCGCGGGAATTTGGTGTCGCTGGTCATATGTCGTACTCTGTTCATGAAGATCACAAAACTCAGGAGCCCTGATCCCCAGACTGAATACCCCCGACGGTCTCCAACACGCGATGGCAGCAACAGTGGAAGTTCAACTCTGGACGACCTTAACCCTTTACTCTCTGAATTTCGTCTGCCTTAGCCCCAAATGCCCTAAGTCTGAAACTCAACGCTTCTCTACAGTCGCGCTATAGACATGACATGCTTCCAAAAAACCCCAAACCTGGGAGACGTACCCCCAGGCCGAAGAAGCCACAAAAGACGCCGGCTGAGCTTGAGGCCCGGCCCCACGGCGATGCCCCAAAGCAACGATGTATGCCCAACAGTCCCAACAGTCGTGATTTCAGGGTGTGAGGGAAGTCCCTGGTGGTTTTGGGAGGTTGATAGTTTTCGGGTCCGCGGGAGTTTCCGGTTGTCGTTGTATCGTGGAAGGGGGTACTTGAGGGCCCATGAAGGAAAGGTTCGGGTTTAAGGTGCAGCGTGTTCTCATCCGTAAGCCCTGCCCTAAACCCATTCCTGATAAACAGAAGCGCGCTTGAGTTACTAGCAGCATTCAGGGTTGAGGGTCTCAGGTTAATGGCTTAGAGGAAGGAAATGGCAGCGCTTAGCACTTATTTTGGCTTGCAGCAGTTGTCTGCACCTGAAAGTAAGAACTGAAACTCCACACCCCTGAACCCCAAGTCCTATCGGCTTAGGAAGCCCCCGAACCCTCAACACCAACCCTAAATCCAAATCCTTGAACCCTAAAGTCTAAAACCCAAAACCCCTGCTGCCGATTGGAAGCCTAATTAAGACCGAGAAGCACGCGGCCACAAAGGATTGGGGCTCGGGTCAGGGTTTGGGGGTTTTGAGCTTTGGGGGTTAAGTTTAGGAGCTTTAGGGTTGTAGGGGTTTAGGGTTTTAGGGTTCCGGGGTTCAGGGTTCAGTTTTTTCAGGATTGAGTGTTCTCGGTGTAGGGCTTTTCAGGGAGAGGTGTGTCTGCTTATCCAAAACCGCAAAGCCTGGGGGGCTACGCTGCGGGCTCTTTTCATTCGGTGGCCGTCAGGAAGAGAGGAAGGCGTCCGGGAGCCAAGTGTTCAAAGCTGGGCTTGGAGTTTGAGGATATCGTCCGTTGCTCTAGTGATCAAATCAGATACCCCAAAATCTCGGTACAGGGGAAGTATTTCCTTCCAGGTTCAAGGTTTCTTCGATCGTGAGGAGGACCTTTCGAGCATTGTGGAGCATCAGATTTCGGGCCCAGGATGCAGAAATCTAGGGGGTGCGCCAAACCGAGAGACTGCGGACCTTGACATCCCAAACCGGTAGCCCTCGAACCCAAAAGCCCCTGAGATCCGGAACTTTCGACCTGGAACTCCCCGCTAAACCCTACACCCTAAACCCTGAACCCTTACTAACCCTAGGCCCCCGAGTGCATGATCGTCAGAAACAGATGTCGGCCAGAGCCGCCTACAAGTGTTTCAAAGAGAGGCCTCACACTACACTTACGAGTGAGCGTGCACTCCCTTGATGGCTTAGATCGTTATCTGCTATCACGCTATCGCCACTGTCGGGGCGCTCGCCTTTTAGGGGAAGGCGAGACTCAAATGCTCTCAGGCGTTGACACATCGTTTTTCCTTTGCGGACTCGGATTAACAACGTGCCTCATCGGGTGTGGTTCGTCGTCCTGCAAGAGCGGGTGGGCGCCGATGTTCCAAATCTGCCCCGCGGGTTTGTTCGAACGTTCAAGCTCTTGTCGACGCTTCACCCTCACACTCTCGACCTGTTTTTGCAACCCTCGAATATCCGAGTATCAGTTTTTGTGACACGTCGGTTACGACCGCAGCCGCCCCACCCCCAACATACCTGCTTCCGGACCAATACTGACACCATACCCTAATTTGTCTCGCCCTACCCGCCTCAACAAGCCCCGGCCGCATCTTGCTGATATCGGCTCGAGGGCAAGCACACACCACCGCCCTACGACCCCCCCTGAACCCTAGGTCCCAGGTGTAAGGAGATGCCGGTTTCGCAATCTTGTGTCGATCATCTCGGTACGAGCACTAGCACTGCTACTTTCACTATATATTACAGTTACATACTGTTGCTATTCCTCCTCACCTCCTCTTCTTCCTTTTGCTCCTCCTGCTGCTGCTGCTGCTGCTCTGACTACTATACTACTACTTCTACTACCTACTACTACTACTACTA